GCCAATAACTAAATTCATGATCATCTAAAATTGAATTTGTTATTTTGATAGCCATCATTCTCTGTCTTTGTTCCTCTTTAAATATATTCCAAAAGTATCCACTTGTTAATTTCTTTACTACACAATAATTATAGGTTACTAAATCAATAATAGCTTTAGATGGATATTTCAAACCACCCCTGTCCACATTAGCAATGACAGAAAATGAAGGGTCCACATCTTCCATTGATCTATCCAATGACATCAAGTCTTTACATAATGGACACCAATTAAGCTTTTTCAGAACTATATGTAGACAATATCCAGCAACGTATACAATAATTGGTTTTTCATCTTCCAAGTCAAAATCATTTTCATCAAGCTGTAAATTTTCATATTTTGATGGATCCAGGAAATTATCATTGACATCTTCACTGGATTCATCTTTAATAGTCTTTAGACAGCCAATTAATTTATTTTTCAAAACACTGGAGATTCTTAATTTTTTTTCTGACTCAAAGATTTGTCTAAGTGATACATTATAATTAGTTCCAGACAATTGTCTGTATAGACCAAACCTAGACTCTAAAGCATCCGTTTGGAATTTCCCCAACAAAACATATTTTAAATTAAATTCGGTACATTGTCAATATTCAAACTTTCCATTCGCTGCCTCTTTTTATCCGGCGATACCCTGAGAGTTACTGATGTGCTGTAGTAGTCTGGGCATCCAGGAAATATTGAAGGAACTGAATCTTTTTTTAATCTTGGCCTCTCGAGAGAAGTCAAAATCATCTTTCCAGATTTAGCATCAAATGAAGATTTTTTAGTAATGATGGCCTCAGCTGGAAAGTGCTTTTCACATACCTTAGAAAAAAAAATATAATTATTATTTGTAATGAAATTATTAATAAAATTAATAAATTTCAATAAACATGCTACTCACTCACATTACAACTAATAATAATAAAACAAATAACATAGCTATGTAATGTATTATAATTTTGTTACAATGTAAGGAATTTAGTTAAAATCTGAAATCCTGGTCATGCACTTTATTCAATAGATCATGCTTACTCGTGAATGCAAAGTAGGTTTCCAATCTTTTCTCGGAATTGCAGATATCCATTTTTGAAACATGTGTTCATCTTTAGGAAAACGAAAGGAATGTACTTTTTGTTCAATTGTATAATTCCCTTGGCAAAACGGAACAATACATTTATTCACCATTATTACAAAATATTATTCCTTCCGAAATTTTTTGACAATTAAATCCGAATAACAAGTAACCAATTACGAAGAAACAAATAAAACGTGCAACGCCGATCAAGTAAACAAGAAAATGAAATAAATCGTTCGCCTCCTATTTGATCAAAACATTAATATAGGGATGTGAGCGCTCAGGCTTGCTATTTACGTAAGGCTACGCTATAACACGGGTTATGCATAAGTTATAATCTGATCTTTGATAACAGAATTTGGCATATCACACAACTTATTTATATATTTGAATTAATTAACTATTTGCTTGGTGTTATTTTTTGATGTTCAACATAACCGTAAATTTGAGTATTTTTTTAACGTATGTAAAATGGTAACTAAAATCCGGTTTAAATTTAGTGTGTTTAAGCGTCTCTCTGGTTACTATTTTAATAAAATGACAACAACACAATTTCACTTGTACAATTTTAATAGGAATGACGTCACTGGTTGCCCATTTCATTGCATATTGCAAATACGTCGGAATTTCCATCGTGTTAAATCCTTTCAAAACAGCCTCAATAAGTGCCATAGAAAAATCGGTTACAACATTCGAATACAAAGGCCATTCTTTCAATTTTTTTGAGACGTAGTGCTTATAGTCAATAAGTACTTGACTTATGTGATACACGTCGTGCCTACATGTTACAAAGTCGATCATTGAAATTATTCTATTATCTACTGAAATAACACCAGTGTAATAAAAAATTCTCTTCTGCTATGAGCTGGTCCTTCTTATCACCGATCCTGTCGAATCAAAATACAACACTGGCAATATGTTCTTTTTTTTGGTTCGTTTAGCAACTTCAACCTGTTTGTATGAATATGAAATGATGCATAACGGCTCACTAACATGTTGTATAAATCTATCACTATCTGAAGCAAGTAGTTCTTTTCTTAGCTTTATAATTACATCAAAAACATCATCTTTATCCTCATCGTCAACACTCAGTGACTCAGATCTAGCATTAGCTAAAACGTCATTTGAGTGAATTTGCATCATGTTACCTATTATCATCGGAGGCATTA